AGCTAAAATCTTTAAATTTGCGTCTTCAAATTATAATGACAGAAATTACCTATGAAGTATTATGAAAGTCGTATATGATATCAGATATATATGCTTATAATTTCTATATTTACGATCGTAAATTATTAAATATTCTGACTTTATTCAGAGGAAAGAACATCACAAGATTTGTCAAAATGATAAAGACATCTAATTGAGAAACGTAATCATTTTACCTTCTGTAATGGTTGCTTTAAAATATTTAATGCAAAAATAAATGTTTAATACTAGAATTAAAGCAATTAAATTTACATTAGGTACTTCAATACTTCAAACAATTAAATTAATTTATGCGCCCTCAGTAGCGGTATTGGTAACAATCATAAATGAGAAATTTGACCAATCGTGCCATCATTTAATCAATCAAAAGGGCGTAAAGAACCTCTACGAATCGGTACCACATTTCCATTGATAGATTCGCGTAAATTTGTGACTGAATTTGATTTCGAAATTGAAGAATCTCGAAGACTTGTTGAATTTGAGGATCGTGTCGATGAGGCCAATGATTCTCTTGATGTTCTCAAAAAAAGATTAGAGTCATCGATGATAGGTTGACTTGAATAGACCATGAAAGATTTTAATTAGATCGCACGTGTTAACCATCAAAAACTACAATATACAGTACCAGACAGATTAAGAAATTTAAATTGGTATGACTTTTTAAATAAAGATTTCTCCTGCATTTTAAGTTTTTTTTTTTTTTTTTATCTAAACAAGTCTGTAAGAGAGATTTTTAAACTTTTAAATTTAAAAAAAAAAAACATAACAAATTGGAATATCTAAACTTTTAAAATTTGGCGTTCATATATAATTTTATAATCTTGTTCTGTCTGATACTGTACAAACAGAGACCAACCGAAATCCATTCCAAGATTGTTTTTTAGTTACAGTAGGTATAGATGTGGTAAAACTTCCAGACGTCACATTTTGATAGTAATCGGTTGTAATTCCAAATTTTTTGTCAATAACTTTTTCGAAAAATGCATCAATCTTTTGCGCTGATATTGAGTTTTGGGCGAAATGTGTTGGCGCCAGAGTACACTTTGGGCGATGAATAATAAATAATAAAATGAGC